TACGGTGCCTCAAGTGTACGAAACGATACAGCGACTGGCGCAGTCTGCGGAAGCACATGAACTTTTTCTGCCAGATGGAACCGCTTTATCCTTGCCCGTATTGCTCTCACAGAGCCAGGATACCCACCCTGTTGAAGTATCACATTGTCCGCGAGCATCTAGCTACCACGTTGATCGAGGAGACTCGTTGAACTCTCAATTTCGTTGTAACAAGACGAAAGGACGGCACAGCGTGTAGAATATTTCTGATAAATCACACAAATTTTTACTGAAAAATGCAAACATTGGTTTTGTTAGAAAGTATGTAGAACATTTGAATTGGTGCGATTAATTCATCTTCTTTTAGAAAAGTAAATTCTAATTTAGTAGGAATTTTTTTCCCTTTTCTTCCTTTTTTTTTTAAGAGACGTAAAAAAGTTTACATTAATTTTTTACATTAAGAAATAGAGATTGCAATTATAAAGTTTAATAATCGCAGTCTAAATGACTGATTTATTAATTTTAAATGATATATTATAAATGGATCTTTTTTTTATGTTATAAATAATAAAATGATATAAAATGTTATCTCGTGATGCGAGAAAAATCTTCATCCTCTGCGTATAGCACTTATAATTGTTGCGGATTATTTGTAATAATTAAATTAAATTTGTATTATGATTTATAAAAACGCAATTAAATATTAATATTTTGTGAATTATATTTAAAAAGGATTTGAATTTAATTTTTATTGTTGTTGTTGTTGACGATAATTATATATGACGTTGACACGCAATTGTTGTTTGTGCAGATAGAAAATTACATCTACATTTATTAAATACGAAAATATTATTTTACATGCGATATATTTGTGCAAAATATTGTTATTATTTTATCTATCTACCTCTATACATATATTAATTATCTTGCGTATCCTTAAAGTCAAAAAGATTATTTGGATTAAGATTATTTTTCTGACTGACGGTGCACTCGTTGTCTTCATTTATAATTTATGATGAAATCTGATGTGATCGTTACAATAAATTCATATGCATTTTTTAACAAACAAATTTTCATGATTGATCCCGAATATTTTAGCCATTGACCAATATGATTCACCAATAAAACTACTACGTTAATAAAGATTCCTGCAGTTTTTCATTTCCATCGCGGAATTTTAATCGCTTTTAGCCAATTGAGAATACAGTGGAGGTAAAGTAAAAGTTGTATGTTTTATTTCAGATATTTCATAAAACGAGTACACAACGCCTTTATCATTCGGCGATTACGTGATGTCGTCGTTGTGTCTCGTTGTGCGTTCTGCCAATTTTCGTAGGAACTTCTCTCTCTGATCGCTCTAACATTTTTGCGTCTAATTTGTAGGATTCGGTCTGGCGGCCGCACAGCAATCCGAGGATCTCGTAGAGTACGTCGGCAAGCCCACCTTCGTGTGCCCGAAATGCGGGAAGGGTTACGCCTGGAAAGCGAGTCTTCAGCGTCACCTGAGCACCGTGTGCGGCACACCGCCTATGCTTTTCTGCAATCTCTGCGGATACAAGACCAGCCGCAAGGACGTCCTCTTCAGGCATATGCGACACGTGCACCCGAGGTCACAATAGCGCAACGACGAGGAGAAGAAACGCGAGTCCCGCGCCGGCCAAAACGCATCCTCCGATCTCCTGCGGATGGTCCGCGACAAATGTTGAAGCGCACTCGAAGAAAATTCGCGATATGAACCGAAACGCGTGTTGAGAACATCATCGTACTAGATTTTTTTTTTTTTGTTTCTTTAAAGAGGAGGAAATCTTCCAAAGACTCCCCGGGGAGTGTGGGATTCGACAGGGGGGCACGTCGGACGAAAAGTCCCCCAGCATCGCCTACTCACTAAAACCTCCTCTACCACTCTATCGGTCGCACTGGATGACCCCGATCCATCGAACTCTGACGTGCATTTCGTGATGACAGACTGCAAGTGCAATTATAATTCTACAACACTTAAGTATGTTATGGAACATTAAGATACAGTATTAATACAGTATTATAAATAATGAGCGATTTTTAGTGAATTGTATAGAAATCTTTTACGAAACCTCTCTCTCTCTCACATCTGATTTCTTTTTGGCTTTTATTTGACTATCCATTTTCTTTTTTATCAGTGCGACATTTTATCGAGTTCTCCTAATATATACGTATGGATCGATATTAGTGATAATTAAACAATATGGTAAAATCGATTGTTTTATTGAGATTGATAATTTTCAGGAATGCTGTGCGTATTTGCCGTAAATTTTTGTTTCGACGTTGATCCGTAACATCAAACTTTAGGTCTCAGGTATTGCGGCCTACAAAAGGAAGAAGGAAAAACGTTAATGTGAACGCGAACGTCGGTGTTTTAATCAATTTCTTCAATTTTATTTTACGGAAACGATGGAAGTTTAAATCAGAAATCATATATATTTGTAATATCTGCACATAATTCCGCAACGCTCAGAAATGACGCAAAATCAATCGGTATAAATCAATAATGCATAACATCACATCCATCAGATACGCGCGGCGTGAGATTCAATTCATGGCGATCAGACAATCGTAGGCCTCTTTCAAGTGGACGACGTTTGCGATTGTCCCCGTGGGGCGAACATCGGCTACATCGTAGCTTCCTTCGTCTGTTTCAGGCATCAGCAGTTGGAACGTGCGCGGCGACGGCGTGAATAACTACGATTCGACGTATCATCACGTGCACAAACGATACATATGTCCCTTCTGTAAGAAGGTCTACGCGCCGAGGAGCTTGCTAAAGCGGCACATGCAGTTCGCTTGCAAAATGAATCCGCGGAACACGCAGTTTTCCTGCACCTTCTGCCCTTACAAGAGCATGTACAAGGCGAACATGGAGAGGCACGTGAGAAACGTTCACAACACCGGCACCCTCAAGTTCCGCTGCGAGCTCTGCAATTTCCGCAGCAATTACTCCTTCTGCGTTCGCAGACACATTAAGACTTTCCATCGCACGGACGAGTCTCAGAAGTAGAATACGATACTTCAGCTTTTCCTTTCGTCTCCACGATGTGCAATAAATTCTTCCCCGAATTAATTGATAATGTGTGTTATGGTTAACAGGACGATTCCACGATTTCTCAACGATCCTGCACGTTTTAGAAGACGTGGGCGATTAAATTAATCCGATTCGACGTTATATTTGTTTATTAGTTTGACATTTTTTATTACATATGATGAGGAATATCATACATTCTTAATATTCCTGAGCTTCCTTGTCATGTTCATAAAAAAATGTCGGATTAATAAACAAGTGAAACACAAATACACAAAGTTTGATGGACCGAAAGGTGATAATTATCTTTTCTCATGCAATTGAATGCTAATTTAGGGCAACAAGTAAAAATTATTTTTAATCTGTAATCGCGATTATTTAAGTCAAGTTTGACAAATTTTTACGATGTTAATTGTATTATTTAATTATACTAAATTGCAATAATTTGTTATTGTAACTCAATCTAATGACAATCGCAGAATGCGCGTGCGATAAGATGATGTTTCAACATCTCAAAATGTTTCGATTAAATACTTGAGCTGATAAGCAGCCAAATTGAGTTCCTACCAATTGAAGATCTACAATTCTCTGTGAATAATTTTATTCAACTGTTAAATGAAATTGTGAGACTATACGCTCGAGATTCGTCAAATTTTATTCACAGACAATACCTTTGAAACTCGGAAAGAAAGAAAGAAAGACATTGTATTCTAATTCTAAATACTGCGATCTAAATGATTGTCATAAAGGTAAACTTTAGGATCGATTTAGATTTCATTAGTTTAGACTTGGAAGAAAAGCATGTGAATTGGATGATGAATTTCCGATTTATTTTGTAAAATTGCAAATGATCTTATCAAATATTCGGCTTTGCATTTGCTCAATCGGATTTTGATTAGTTTTCGATTGCCGTATATTTACTCTGTTTTCCATCTAAATTTTACGTCTTTGATATAATTTGAATGCTACATTTCATTTTTATTTTATGGTTAAAAATGATTATTGAATATATAAGAAAATCATCTCAAAATTTAGAGTCTTAATTTTCAATTTTTATTTGTATAAGAATTGGAAATTGGATTATCGTTTTTATGATTAAATTATAGCTATATAATAAACTATAAAATCTGAAAAGAAAAGCTATAAATCCTAATTATGTGTAAATCCTAACCGTGTCGTTGTCAAGCTTATCTTCATTGACTTCTATATCGGTGCATAGTTGCGTAAGATTTGCGATAAATACAAATTTACAATTCCAAACGACACATGCGCCTATTATTTTTTCCTATCAAATTTTCTACTTTGCGGCATACATACGTATACATTTAATTACATGGGTCTACTTTGTAGTTCAATTTTGATTTTAAAACGAATTTTAGTTGTCTAGAAATCTGTGAAGAATTCTTCTATGAAGAATTTGAACACAAACTTTAAAGTCGCAAAGTAGATTTATGTATTAAAAATTATATTTAATTTATATTTAATTTATATTTAATTTACATTAAATTAAATTATTCTTAATTTGTAGTTTATAATATACAATGGAAATGTGTATAACGAAAGTGTAATGAAAAATAGAGTGTTTTTATATATGAGAAATTTATAATATATTCAGTCCTTTGTTAATCGATATGAATGAAATCAATATATGTATATCGAGGTATCTTTACATATATTACTAAATTGAAATTAAGTCTTATAGATATTTATTTAATATATATTAATATATATTGCATGCAAAGTATATTTGTGTCTCTTATTTAATCTATATAATTAAAAACTTTGGTCTTTTATTTTTTTATTATTTTATATACTTACTTTTTGTAATGTTTTTTTAAAATTGTAATTTTTTTAGAGTTGATTTAAATTTGGATACTTTCAAGAAATCTTTTATTATAATTCTTAAAATTTAATTTATTTTTATTTAGATATTCATACATCTTAACGATTTTAATTTTAAAGTATTTACAAATAAACAATTTTTATTAAAATTTGATTAAATTAAAGCACATTGCTATAAAATGATTGCAACTGCCCTAACAGGTCGCTTTTATTAATCGATTATTGACGTTCTTGTTTCAGCTTTATTTTGGCACACATATTCCTCTCTTCGTAAGAAAATTAGTAGACGCAGCACCGATGGAAGCAAAGCGTTAGATAAACAAAAGGGACCTGTAGTTCGCAAATATGTTCACGTATGCCCTGATTGCGTAAGGGCTTCACATTGAGGATAAAACTCTTAAAACATCGACAACTCGAATGTGTGAAAGTAAAGGCCAAAGTTTAGCTGAGGGATTCATCTGTACAAATGATGCGTCCACAGGTACAGGAAGAGGCGTCGCGCATCATCTTATAAAGTCAATTTTTTTATTACAGTTTCGATTACAGAAGATTACTGTCAACTCTTGTACTTCTACATTTGTCTCACAATCAGTAATATCTGCAATATTGACATATTTCTGTGATCGATGCCAATGATATTGCCGGTAATTGAAATATCAATCGATTTCATTTGTGAAGTTCTCTGGAAATTGATGCCCAAGCCGATGTTTGATATTATTTGCTCTCATTAACCGATCTGACATTGGTGTTTCAGCGTTATTGTGGCCTTACAAAGTGGAGCAAGAGTACAATGCTAACGATGAGCAACAACTACAACGATTAAGTTTCGTCTATGAAAATTGCGAGACTTATGTTTGTGCGGATTGCGGCAAAACTTACGTAGCCAAGAGATCACTTTGGAGGCATCAAAAGTTCGAGTGTGTGAATGCGAAACCAAGGCTCAGATGTGACATGTGCTCATACAACACTCCCCACAAGTGGTGTCTGGACAGACATAGAAGACAAAGAAGGCATTAGGAAAATAGAGTTTGTTATTTGATGTAAATGTTGTAAATTATTTTTGTAATCAAATTATTTTCTTTGATAAAATTCTTTTATTATATTATATTAGTCACAGGTAAGAGTAAAGGATTTAGTGTGATATAATATATATATATAGTGTGATATAATACTGCCAGTAATCGAAACATCAATCGATTTTATTTGTGAAGTTCTCTGGAAATGCCCAAGCCGATGTTTGATGTTACTTGCTCTTATTAACCGGTCAATATAAAGCTAAAAAAGCACATATAACTGATTATTAATATAAAGAATTAAATTTTATTTAATTATTAATATTTTTTGTGTAATTTGTGTGTCTTAATTTATTTCTTTTCGTATCAAATGTCGATTTGAAACAGGAATTTTTACATGAAAGAATCTACATAGTATTATATTAATTAATGCAAGGTAAAAAATTTCAATTTACTGCATCTAAATCTTCAATTATTAAACAACAACATCAAAAAAGATTATTACTGTTTTTTAATTTTTATGAATTAATTACATCGATAAAAAAACTTTATAATCTCCATGCAAATATGTACATTCTTTGAATAGAATAATTATTAATCAACTGTAGGAAATTTTTAATAATGCAATATGTTAGTAATATTTGCGAAAAAAAAGATATTTTAATTTTTGTTACTGAAAGATTGCAATATAATATATATTTTATCGATTATGATATATATTTGTAGAATTAAAATTTGTAAGATTATTCTCTTTTACATATAGAGGTTAATTAAAATATTTATGTCATTAAGTTTTTATATTATTTTGTTTATTATAAATTATATATAATATGTATAATGTCAAAAGCGAAATAAACAAAAAGTTATTCATCAAAGTTGAATTATATTTATATTTTTGGTATATAAATTGATTATAAATTATCTGAATAATGTGTACACACACACACACACACACGCGCGCGCGCGCGCGTGTGTGTGTGTGTGTGTGTGTGTCTATATATATAAAATTATATAACTATATAATATACAATAATTATATAATAGTATATAATTATTATATATATTATATAATAGTATGTATGTATATAATTTATTATATATTATGAACGATTAAACATAATATTAAAAACAAAATAAATTGAAGATTTTTTTTGTAAACTTGCAGAATAATTATTATTTTACTGAATATTTTGTTTTTCAAGATTTATATACAATAACACTGAATATTTAGATTAAGACTAAGATATTTATATATTTATATTACATATTAAGACATTACAGAATATATATAATATTATAAGATGTTACAAAATATCAATAAATAACAATTGTATAGAATTTTTAATTTCTCAGATATCTATTTTTAATAAATAAAGATATTTCTTGGAATAATGTTTTGAATAGAAAAGAAATGATAAGATATAAGAAGAAATTAAATGCAGAAGATATTTTAATAGGTCTGTTTAGTGTTTTCATCGTTCGATTATTCTTTAGTAAGTCGACGTAGTAAAATATGATGAGATATAATTACTCATTTGCATATAGATATGTTGAAAGAATACATATCTAAATATAAAAAGTATCATTCCATTTGCCCATCAAATTGAAAATTATTGAATTTTTATTTCCTTTTTTTAGGTAAGACCTGAAAAAACATTTTCATTTTAATTTATTGTTTATTATTTTTATTGAAATATAGATAATTATAGGTTTTTTTGCTAAAGAAAAGTTATGTAAGGAAATAAAATGCAATACCAGGTAGAAAAAGTCGTTTGACAATCGAATAATATATTAACGTGTAAGTTTTCCCTTTTAATATAATTCTTGATTTTTAGTTTACTAAAAATCTCTGCTAGCAATTTATGATCTTAGAATATCGAAAAAGCGGATTAATATTTGTACATACTATTTCAACAATGAGTGCTTCAATAGAAATCTAGTTTTAGCGGCTTAGTAAATTGATTTCTAATCCTTCTGATCCCGAATTAGGTTCCTTCTAGGATTTATAGAGTAGTCCCTGTGTGAATTATTTGCAAAGTTTTCCGAGCTTTCGTTGATTTTTTAGGATGGCTTTTAAATTCTAAGGGATGCATCAAGCTTTCAGAAAAGTTTCTGATCATCTTGTGGCAAGAAATATCTGAGATAATTTATTACAATTCTTAATTTGATTTATGAGATTTCGTAATCGATTGTAAATTTGGTTAATTTCGCGTTTGATTTCAATTCATTCTAATTCAAGCATCTCTTTGCAAGCTCGATGATTCCTAGGCAAGTCGTTCCTTGACATCGACGCATTGTTTCTACTTTTATCCATAAGGACATTTTCATTTTTCGAATTGTCTTCACTTCATCCGGAAATTAGCCGAATTTCTCACAAACGTGAGATGATTACGTCTCATAAGTCGTATATTGAATACCATTGACACCCGCGAGTGCTTTCATCGTGGCTCTATCCTGATAATGCTGTTTTTTTTTGTTGAATCCTTTTCTTTCGCAAGGCTTGAACAGCGCGGCCGAACTTTCGTTCAACTAACTAACTTTGTCCCTCTGTTTCCAGCTTACCGGAAGATGTACATGGGCGATCAGGTTCTCGGCTACACTTGCACGATGTGCAGCAAATTCTACAAGATGTGGAGCAACTACTTGAAGCACAAGTGCGAACCGCCGCAATTCAAGTGTCCGCTGTGCCCGTTCGCCGCCTTCAAGGCCTTCATCCTGCACGCTCATCAGGCCGAGCAGCATTTTAAGGTCCCCTCGCCTAACACTTAAGCGACCCACGGCGATCCACGGAGATCGGGAAGGAATTGTCAAAATGCCTTAGTCGTCGTTGTTACGATTCTTCGTGGCACGTGTGCCATACTGCCGGCGGCTATCAGCCGTCTCGAGAAGTTTTCGCGCCTCTGACGTGAGCGAGAATCTGTGAGCGACTCTAGCGTCTAGAGACGTCGACGACCGTTTTCTAAGTAGTTCCCGATTAGAAGCCCCGGGAAAGCGTTCTCTCTCTTCGAAAAATATATTTTTCCTAAATTCGCTGCGAAGGCGATGAGATAGTTCCCAGTTGTCATAGGGTTAGCTCGACATATTGCATTAGTTAGTAATCGGCGAATGGCGCATTTTCTCATGATACGAAAGATGAATCAGATCTCACGGATGGACACAGGTGCACATGAATTTATGAATGACGTAGAAATAAAAATCGTCATTTGTAGCATATCTTTTTTTGGCATTTTATTGTATAATTGTATATTATAGTAATGCGACCGAGATGTGCAAGTATGCTGCAACCGCTTGTATTCCAGTGTAACAAATAGCGTAGTCTAATCTAAACCATAAAGGAAAGAAGACTGAATGACAATAATAAGGTTTAGGAGATGCGTTATCTCTTCATTCGTCTCCGATACTTTTAAACACTGCAAATTTTTGAATACTATGAAATATTATAAGTCACGTATTTTTTTCCTTTACAATCAAAGAGACGCGATGTTCCTTTGAAGAGGAAGAAAACATTCACCTCGCTGTACGAAGATCAAGCATTAAATAAAGCAAAATAAATGTTATAAATGAATATTTTGTCCATCAAGAAATCAGTACTGAGATCTGATGATAGATATTGCTGCCGACGCTATAAACTATTGATTCTTTCTCACTGCATACATCAATCTCAAAATTTTATCTCGGCACAAAGTGCCAGCCGTTTACGTAAATACGATCCTAAGGATACCGTATAATCTGTAGTATTTATAAATGCATGTATTTTCGTAATACCAATAATAAAGTGTTAGAAAAGCATTAAAAGCGAAACGACAGTCTCATTCTGAATTAGCAAGCCGACGTATTAAGTACGACGATTTTTTTTCTCCCTTTAACTCCCATCAGCAGGAATGAACATTTTAATGAGAAATTTTATTTTCCGATGAAATAATAAACTTTTCTTCTATTTCGGAATATTTAAAACTACTTTTAATTGACGATACTTTTGTAATTGTGTTTCTTGCAGAGTTTTATGGAATGTTAATTTTTATTGGTGTAAAATTCTTATTCGCGTTGCTTGTGTATGTGCCCAGTAAACCGACGTCACTTTTGTTCTCCCCTAAGTATACCTTTAAGGGCGCTACTAACAGACAATTGAATACGCTCTCTGTTTCAGATCGTTTAAAGGATTTGGCAAGATTCTACGATCTTAGCGAGCTATCCGGTACGACACAGACGCGATCGGACGTAAACCGCGCACGCAGAAATGCTAATGTCGATGCTAATGCTTTTGTGGGGGCGAGAGCATTATTGATTGTCGCGACCTGAGGTCCAGGTGGTTGCTCAAGATGCTTTTCTTTCCTTTCCGTTTCAGGTTTCCACACGTGCTGCGAGTGCCAGAAAACGTACAAGTCGCGGATGGCCCTGAACCGACACGTGCGAGAGGAGTGCGGCAGAATCTTGTATACCTGTCCGTACTGTCGCAACGTCATGCCAATGAAGTTTAATCTGTTGAATCACCTGAAGAAGGAGCACGGTTGCTAGAGAGACTTAACTCAACGAGTGATCGCCGAAGAAATGACTTTCCTATTCCGCTTCGCGATCGTATCGATTGATCGTTCGTATTCTGTTCTTCCTGAACGAACAAACGAGGCTCTTTTCGAAGTTCGAACGTTTTCTTGCGAAACATGACGTGATTGTTTTGCAGTACAACGTTGCGAACGATGGAGAAAAGTAACACTTATGCTCAACACTTATTACGTTTCACAGTTGTAATATTATAGATGGTTCGAGAGATGTTTGATGCTTTATGCCGCGAAAATTTTATGAAATTTCATACGTTGTAGCGTGTTTTTGCTATGTAAAGTAAGTTTATCATTAAAACCTGCGACGTTAATAGATTATATTGTTAAATAATTCTCTAAGGCAAAAATATCGTTAAGTCATATATTCTCTCTGACGATAGAATATTGAAATTATAATATATAATATATATACGTAAAAGCATCTTTCTGAAATATAGATGTTAATATATTACTTATATTTATAATAGAATTTTATGACTTTTTGTTTATTTTTTATTATGTTTTTTGATTGATAGAAAACTAATCTTTTTTATTTTTACAGATAGATAAAATTCCTTGATTCCGTGATCAATGTTTGTACAATCATACAACGGTTTTATTATATTATAAAAATTTATCTGTAAAATACTTTATGTAAAATTTAATAATTCTGTACATTTTTTCGATCATCCAAATTGGACATTAAAGCGATATTTAAGAACAACTTTTGAAAAACTAAATATTTTCAATAAACAAAGATACGCATTTAATGTCTGACATTCTTCTAAAGAAACATTGTAATGATACTACCTCCTTTGCAATGTCTTATAAAAAAATTACAATTGCAATAAAAAAAAATACTGTTCGTTCAGTGGCAAACGGATAATTGTGTGCAGGGATAAAAGTATTGAAGGATATAATAATTTGTTGAGTAATGTAACGTCAAGATTAATAATGAGGATATACTAATGAGTGCATGAGAGATTCAGTTATGTTTATCGCAATTTTATATTTCGCTTTGTCATTTGTTTCGTGCTTATCCTGTCTTCGTCTTTAACAATTATATTATAACCCTATGCCGATAGGAACGGCTGTATTATTTGCAAGAAGAACACGAAGAAAATATACATAAAAATACGGAAAGTGCGTAGACTTTCCGTGTGCTCTTCTCCTCCAGTGTTTTTACAAAGTAAAAAATTAACATACTTGAGTAATGATGAGAGGATTGGTCGCTAATATTCGATTTTCATTATATTTAAAATTTCAATACTACCCACTTTGACAATAATAATTCTGAATAAAATTAAGATCGTCTGTGAATAACATTTTTTGTACAGGTATCGTACTTTAAATAAAATCTCGAGATATTATTTACATAATTTATGTTAGGTCTTACAATTATAATTTGATTGTTATTTTTGCATTACGTTATATATTAAAAATTGTTATATTAAACGTCGAGGAAAAATAGAAAGTTTAAGCTTTATTTTTTTACATTGCAAATGATTAGGTAATAATCTTAATAATAATTGTGATCAGAAATTTTGCTTGAGAAAAATCTGATTATTCCTCTAAATGCGCAAAGACAACTCTGGAAGAAATAGCATCCTGGCGAATATCAGCGACCATCGAAATGAATAGTTATTTTAAACGATTTGTATTAACGTGAGCATGTAATTTCTCTTTGCAGGATATTTCCCTCGAAATCAGACCCACCTGCAGGACCTGCACATCTGCAAGAAATGCGGAAACATGTACGTGTATTACAGCTCGTTGACGAGACACATGAGGGAGGAGTGCGGAAAACCACCAAAATATCAATGCCTGTATTGTCCAAAGAGATCGAAGTTACATTGCAACCTATTGAAGCACATGCGAACGAAGCACGGTTTTGAGCAGGGCTGAGAGCACCAGAAGTGGACGTTAATGGTGGTGGTGGTGGTGGTGATGGTGGTGACAGAACTGACGGACAAGAAAACGGGAATGAGATCAAAACTGAATTCTAAATACACGAGATTGATTTTTCTATGGTCACCTAGAAGTTCCACCAAGCGTTACACTAATAATGACGCTAAGTTCGACGAGGTTCACGTTCGCATTTCGACAGATCTGCGACGAACGCTTTGTGTCAACCATTTGCATATTTTTCGCGGGTTGTAAAATTCCCAATGGTATCGTGAATGTCTGTGTAAATAGATACGTAAAGTCTGATATGTATAAAACTGACTTACTATTAAGCTTTGAAAACTTTATAATTTTGTGTCACACATTTAACCGAAGTGTCAAATGTTGTGTAAAAGAAAAAAGAGAATATAAATGATGATTACTCTATTTTTAATTTACGAGATCTCTCGCTTTTGAGAAGCGAATCAAAAGTTGTTATTTTTGCGAGAAATAACGTCTTTCTTATGTTGCTATATTTCATTAGTCTGAGGAATGCCAAACATACATGTTGTATTAATTGTCAAATTAAAGAGTTGAATGTAATAGCAAGTCTTTCTATTATCGAATTTCTATTATCTATTTTCTATTATCTATTTCGACGGCATTAAAATTGCGGGATTATGCATACCTAATAGTAAGACAATATAAAGCTAATTTATTACCAATCCTTTCGATTTATTAATATTATATCAATTGTGTTAACTGTTAATCATATCCCATACAATATACTAATATGCTTTTAATTAAAAAAATGGATTAATACATTACCTTTTAAAACGACCACTACAAAGATGTACCTCATTAAACTTGCATAATCCCGCAGTGCTAAAATTAACTAGACACATCGATGTTCAAAAACTGATAATTATTTGTGATAATTATTTGTGTTCACTAGCTATCGAGATTATCAATTTGTCGAAAGAGATCAAATTATGTACAGGGGAGGCACGGTGTGACGAAAGAAACCGAGCCGAGATCTGTTCATGTTCACCCAAAAGACATCGATGTTCCTCGCCTGTCCTGATCAAAGTCGCTGACGGATCTACGTGTTATTTTCTTTTTCAGAATACAACATCTGTCTGGCCTGCTCGAAGTCGTACAAATGGAAGAAGTCGCTACATCGACACATCCGAGAGAGCCCGGAGTGCTGGCCGATTCTTCTCACTTCTGGCAACGGCGAGTTTATTCGACAGATCCATTACAAGATGTTGTACAACACCAAAATCTGAATGGATCGAAAAAGACAAAAGGGGGAATATGGTTGCAATATTATCGACAAGAGTGTCGGAAAGAAATTTGTCTTTTAACGACACGAATTGTCCATGTTGTTATATTTGGAATATTTTTTATAAAAATAAATGTTATTTTGTTGCATGAACTCGAATGAAATAAGTTATTAACTTATAAAACTTAATAAAACAACGTTTTTATTATATCTATTATATTCCTTTTCCTACAAGCTTTATTAATATTTTTAGGAATTTTTAAGAATTATGTTCTGCAATTAATTCTATATCCTGTTTTATGGATGTAGAAAAAGTAAGCTTCTTAATATGTATTAGCTACTATTTTATATTGCATTTATTATTTGATCTTGACCTCAACGATCCTGAAATTTGAAAATGTGTATTATTTATTAAATTTGATTTTCGTTTATTTGCATGAAATCGTAACGAAGTGATCCAAGTTCTAACTTCATTATACTATTATTTTCAGGGCTCGTGTGATTTTTATGAAGAAAAATCACATAGTGTTAATGTCTTCAAATTCCTAAATGTTTCCAATCTTAAATATTATATATATATATATATATATATATATATATATATATATATATA